GGGCCACACATTGAGGAGTTCACAGAACTGGATTTGGAAGCCTGGCAGCCTGACTATTACAGCCACACCAGTTTGCTTCCCACTGTGCCAGAATCTGTAGGGTTTATGAGATGCATAAAATGAAGCATGTGCCCTCAAAAGGTTTTACCATCTGAGAAGGGAATTACGATGCACACTAACATTCACAGGCTGAATAGGAAAATGGTATATTGTAGTCCCTGGAGTCAGGGAGAGGTGGACTGAAAGATGGGCAATGGCTGGCTTTGCTAAGCTCCTACTTCACAACTATAGGGGAAATGAGATGCACCCAAACATCTGAGGAGAGAATGTGATAAGACCACCTGGAGAAGAAACCCTGGTCAAAGAACAGAGTGCATTTATATATCTGCCACTCAGCACATTTATTATTCTTATCATCTCCCAGTATCACTTGGATTGAATGTTTATGCCCCCCTAAATTTACCAAATTATCATGTCAATCATGACTTTTGAAGACTTCACCTCAGTTCGAAATTTATTGCTGATTCTTACTGAAAAATTGTGTACACACAATTTTAACATACACACATACACACACACAGACACACACACTCCCAATAATCTGACTTCCAAAGAGGTACACAAGTTGCAATCTTTTGGTAGTAATAAACTAATGTGAAAATTAAGTAAACATTTTTTACAGAAAATTTTTAAAAACTGAAAACAGAATATTCTCTCTCTTTGTATTTTTACTGTCTAAACACAGTGGAAAGGTAAGCAGGATCATTTTTCATCCACAATACATAAAATCTAAATTAGTTATGGTCTATTTGTGCACTGACTAAAAACATTCGTTAACAAAACAGAATTTTCTAGTTTACTGGATAAATATACCAGGAGAAATTGCAGAATAATGTTAGGTTGCCAAGCAACCACCGCTCTACTCCCTCATTCATCAAGCTTCTTATCCCAGTGCTAGAGAATTCCAACCGATTTGTTTCTTGGGAAAATTACAGTGACTTTCGGTAACACAATAACACTTCTATTCTCAGAAGATAAACTTAGATGTTCTTTTGATCAAAGAGATGTGTTAATTCATTATTCTCTACATGGTGCTAATGAGAAAGCTATAATTAACTAACTATACTAGTGCGACACATAAAATAAACTGCAGTAATTAGTAATGTTTAAGGTTTTAACCAGATTCCCAAATCAGAAAATACAGAATCTTTCCTCCAATAAAGATGTAGAGAAAGGAGAAATCACCATAACTAATTAAATTGAGAACTGTTTCCATTCTCTACCCTCTCCCCCCCAAAAAAGGGATAGAGGCACGGGATTGCCAAAATGTGAGAGATTTCACTTTAATAGCAAAGAAAATAGCTCAATGCCAATTCTACTTGTAGGTAGACATAAAATGCCGGAGAATACTGTAATCTTTTCTTTGAAAGAATGCTTAGCACAATATTTTTCCAGGAATGAAAAGAAAGAATATTAGGCTTTCACTCATTAGCCGTGTTAATTTAGCATATTGTATGTAAATCACCATAATAATTGCATTCCCTTCATACGGAATTAGTTAGTTAGAATGAAGCTGTAATCAAAATGTTCATAATTGAAAATATAGTATTCTCGGTCTCGTTTTGAAAAAATAACAAGGAACACTGATTGAATCAGATAATACAGTACATCATTGAAAACAGCCTTGGTATAGAGACAGGTTGGTCCTCTAGATTATACCTTAGCATGTCAATTAGCTCCCCAGATTCAGGACTCAACACTTCTGGATCTGTCATGGGTTTTTATTTTTACCCTTTGTCTTCAGCCTAACTTAAACTTTCCATGTGCATTACTGCTTAAATTTTTAGGGAAAATACAAAATAGTGAAAAGCTAAATTTTGTTTCTAAAAAGTATTAGACTCTATGGCACTGCTGGCTGTCATAAGTCAAAGTGCAAAATAATTTCCAATAAATGAAACATTTAATGCCAATGCTCCTGGGAAAGAATGTGTAAATGATCACATGAATTTCAGGCAAGCTGTCACACTAATTCCTCAAGGCACCCTTTAAAGATGACATATTCACTGTGAAGAAGGGGGTGTTGGTTGTCGTGCAAAAGTCAAACTTGACTCAATACTCTGCTATCTGAATTGATATTCACAGAGCTTCCTGACACTCATTTCTTCAAATCTAATGCCATTAGCTACCCTCTATTACTTAATTTTCTTTTATGAGATAAAAACTAGTGGAATCTTAAATCAGTCTTAAATCATTACTTTTATTTATAATTCTCCATTAAAAAAAATGAATCAGGCTAAAATATTTCAAAAAAGCAATTTTGGGTCAAACAACCTGCTATCTTCAAAGAATTCAGAAGTTAACTATAAAAATCAAGCTCCTATCCAGCAAACATTTTCCTAGGTGAGGTCTATTTTGTAAAATCATAAGGAGCTTTGTGACGGTGACATCTGTCTGGTTTTACTTGCTTCAGCGTCATCAAAACTTGCCAATATTTTAATAAGCAAGTAATTTAAAAATGAATTTAATACTACTTCATTTAATGGGATGAATTAACTTTAAGGTAATAAATACATTATGTGCAATATCAAATCCTGTCAGACCTGTAATTAGGTCAATGGGGTGTATAGTTTGCTCATCACCAGATATGTTGGAGCACCTATATAACCAAGAGTAGTAATAAACGTCCGTAGCCTTTTCTTTAAAGGGAAGGGCCCATGAGATGCAACAGAGAACAATCTGGAAAACACAGATTAATCATCACAGTCCTGCACTTCTGCAGTGAAGAGTACAAACATGCTCGGAAAGAGATTTTAATGAACTTTCTTAGCCAGTACTCACACCTGCCCAGACATAATTATTTGTCTCCATTTATTCACTGACAGTATTCAGGAGCTTGTGAGGAATGATTATACACTGTGTGCCCTGCCGTTCCTAGAGGTGAGTCCACTGCAGCACTTAAGGCCATAAAATGGAAAGCCATGTTATACACTAGACTCGAGAACCAAGTTAAATTTTGAAAGCCACAGGGTGGTCCATTATAAAGAGAATGAAATTAAGACAAAGCCAATTGCAACATTAGCAGGTGAAAGAGGAAACATTTTTACACACAAAGCGGTAAAAGCAACTGTTTTTTTCTTGTCACTAAAAGTTTCCCCCAGTAGCTTTCTAAGCTTCTCTCTCCATCCAGTTGGTCAGTTTATATCTTCCAATCTGCTCCAAAGCAACGCTTTGTAGGAGTAGGACTGGCCAGTAATATTAATGTCAATTGATGGTCTCCAAAAGTAGAAATTAGTATTTTGCCTTCAATAAAAATGCAGAGTAATGAGAACACGCCGTATCTAATTGAGGACTAACTTATAATAAAAGTAACGGCATCAGCAACCATAACTTTTAGTGTTCATTATGCATCAGACACTGAGCTAAACTGTCTACTGGAATTATCTCATTCCAGGCGCTCAAAAACCCTAAAAGGAAGGTACTGATATTATCCCTATTATTCAAAAGGGGAAACTGGGGGACGGGGTCGATAAATGTCTCGTCCAAAAGCACACATCTCAGAGACCATGGACCTGAAATTCGAACGCACGTGAGCACGGCGAGAGCCTTTGCCTTGCACGAGCCCAGGTGGCTCACCAGTTGCCCACCTCCGCGCGCACGCGCAAATGTGCCCCCCACCTGGGGCGTTCCCGTGAGCGCGCCATCGCGCGCGCGCGTGCCAGGCGCCGCTTGCCAGCTCTGGGGGCTCTTTGGGAGCTCACGCGGGCGGGGCTGGAACCCCGCGCCCCTCGAGTTGGGCTGGACCTGGATCTTCCTCCGCGCCTTGCCGCCCTGCTGTGTCACTACACACCCGCCTTCAGCCGCTCACCTCCCACCCCTTCCCCTGCCCGCCCTTCGGCGGACAGCCCGACCACCCACCCTGCGCTCGCCCCAGGGCGCGGCTCCGGGCGTGGGTACCTGAGCCGGCGCGGCGGAGGCTTCTTGGGCCCTGGCTTGTCGCAGGAATTCCTCAGTCCTGCCCTTGCACAAGAAAGTGAGGCTCGCAGCGGGCAAAAGGAGTGGGAATGAAGGGACTGGCTAGCGTTCCCCAGCCCCCTGGCTCCAGTCTCTGCTCTCCAAATTAATCACTTTCTCCCTGCTCCCTCCCCACGCACACTCTCACTCAAAAAAAAAAAAAGAAAAAGAAAAGGAAGGAGGAGAGGCACAAAGAGGAAGAAGGGACCTTCCATGACTGGCATCTCTAGCTCCCTCAGCTTCGCTACCAGGGAGCCATGGCAACACGCCCCCAGCCTGACCCCTCGCCCCCTCGGTGGCCTGGGGAGGTGGAGCTCCTAACCCTCCCAGTTTTCTCGCCCCCCAACCCAGCTGTCCACAGATCTCCCTTTTCCAGCTGGCGTCGCGTACCGAACCCCAGCGGGATCTGGAATCCTCCCCTGAGAGTGGGAGCAAGACAGTGGGGCGGGGGTGTTGGCGGAAGAGAACTGAGCCTTACGACCCAAGAGATGGTAAGGGGCAGAGAGGAGTGAAGCCAGGACTGACCCCAAACCCAGCTGGACCTCGCAGCCCCCTCTCGGGAGAGGGCTGGAATCTCCAGGAGGGTCTGGAATCCTCTCCAGAGGGTAGGAAGAAATGCTGGTAAGGGAGGTTGGAGGAAAGACAAGAGGGTCAACCTACCCGTGACCAGGCGGAGAAACTGGGAGCCGGAGGATTCGAGGACCCGTTTACTCCGTCCGACTGACCGGAGGGGTCTGAATCCAGCCTCAGCCTCCAGGGGGCGGGGCTGGGAAAGGGGGTGTCTCTAACTGGCTTAAGGCTGAGGGACCTCGGACCACCCTACTTCGTGCAACAACGGAGCCCTGATTGCACACCATCTCCGGCCCACAAGGAGTTGACTCCCTCCCCCCAGGAGCAAACCACTTACCCTCCTGCTGTCTCGCTCAAAGATTTGGGGAGCCCCCAGGGCTAACGAAACAAACGCAAACTGACCCTCACCCCGGACACACCTGAGTCGCTTCCTGCACCAGATCCGTTCAGTACCTTCCCTCGGGAAAACCTCTCCCTCAGGCTGGCTTGGAACGAGAGAGGGACGTGGGGGTCCAGCAGCTCCCGGCGGATCCACGGGAGTTTCTGGCCGGCCGCTCCCAGCTGATCTGCACGCGGGTCTGCCCGCGGAGATGCCGCTGCGCCCCGCCCACCGCCGGCAGTGGCCGAGAGCACGCGGACCTGTTCTGGCTTGCGTTCCGCTCCACGCCCACCCGGTAGAGGCTGGTTCGCGCCTCTCCTCTCTCCGCTGGTTCTGCTCCGCTACCCCTCACCCACGCCGCTTATTTTCCTTCCCTTTGCACACTCCCGTGGGACAGGGAGAGTTACAGGCTTAAGACTTTTATTTCATGGTGAAAAGCAAGGGACGAAGCCAAAACTTTGCTCGCCATTTTCCACATCTATGGTCAAAGAGGTCAAAAGATCGCTGCCCCTTTTGTCTGGAAAAAAGAAATTTTAAAGAAACTCCTCCTCCTCCCGAGAGTTCCAGTCAGTACATATTCCAGACACGGGTCGCCAGTCTGGTTTTCTCTCAGTGCTGCGTGTTGAAGGGGTGTGATGCCATGGACCTATTAAAAATAATTCTTTTTGCTTTCCTTCCTCATTTAGAGGCGTGATGGGGCGTGCTATTTAATTTACAAATGATGCTACTTCCATAAACTGCCAAATTATTGTATACATAAATTTACGCACCTTCTTCTGTTACCATTTTAAAAACATTGTTCTAACACTTACGGTCTATAATTTTACCATATTGTTCCCTAACATTTTTTTCCTATTTATTCTGTATTAATTCACTATTATAAAGTAGAAGAAAGCCCCGCGTGCTTATTTCCATTGCAAAAGGCCACTTCTGATGCCTTATCAATTCCACCAAAAAAAGCAAATTTTATTTTAGGATTCCAAAATTAATCTGGGAAAGTTACAGTCCTTGCAGTATAAGTGGTTTATATACCCCTTTCATTTTTCTCTCCACCGTGATCATATTTTCCAAAATTTTCACACAGTACTACGTTTTTTTAAAAAATCCTGTTGAATTTAAGTTCTCTTTGATGGTTAGAGAATCATTGACTTCTAATTTTTACTCTAGTAAGGCAGTGAGATTGACCTTACAGTCTGGTTTTGTTCTCATGTAGTGCATTGAACAATGAGGACATTTAGAGCTGTGAGCTACCCTCAGAGCCGGATGCCGCTATAGTGAGCAGCAAGGGGAAGGCAACTCAGGATTCAGCTTCAGAAGCAACTGAATAAAATATTTTGAAAAGGAATAAATGAACTTTTAATTTTAATAATTGCTAACCTTGAAGCCCCAATTCTGTCAGTTCATGTGTGGGCATAGTTCTTACTGACTGCATCACAAATTGCAAATGCAAGTGAGGGCAGGATTTGTCCTGAGTTTAAATTGAACTGCTGGAGTAATTTCTTTGCCTGAGGCCTCATTATTCACGTGGCATGTCTTCTAAAGTAGAAACAAAGATAGAATATTGAATAAAATTCCAACAGGGAAAATACTGTGTCTGTAGGAAAACATTTCCAAGGTCAAGGAGACACAAAGCTAACTTGATCTTGGGAGTTTACCACCTTCTGGATAAACATCTGCTGAGCAAAAGACTCAGAACTCCATCCTGGCCAAACCAACAGAATACTGAAACATATTGTTCTGTTCTCTATGATGAGTTTGCTTGACATCTGGATCATTATTTTAAAAACAAATGTTTATTGAGCACCTACTATTTATCAGTCATTGTCCTAGGTGCTGGGTACAGTGGAAAACTCAACAGGCAAGGCCAGTTGCGTCTTTTTAAATCAACTGTCCAAAGATATATAAAAGAATACCAAAGTATAATACCTGAAACAAGAAGATGAAGTGTCAGCTCTTAAATATGGGTTTTTATTAAAAGGAAAATAACAATAACATACTTCTGAGCCTCTGGCACTGCATATAAATTAGGAAATACCCAAAGAGTAAACCCGTGGCTTACCAGGGACAGCCATTAAGTCAGCATATACACAAAAAACTTTACTCCAGGCAGCTACATTTTAAGAAAGAAGTGAGAAAGAAGAAAAAGATAGGTAAGGAAAAGGGAAGAAAGGGAGGGACAGACGGTGGGAGGAAGGAAGAGAGGGAGGAAGACATGCAAATGATTAACCAAGAAAGGAAAACAGTATTGAGAACAAGAAAGTATTTTAGGCAACTAAAGGAAGTTTTTTTTTTAAAAGGAATACAAAATGGAGGCAGTGACTTAAACTTCCACATCCAAGAAACACCTCATAGCTCTTACCTCCAAGGATAAGTTCATATTTTTAATACATATTTAAGGGCAGGCAACCAATCTAGGCTTTCCTGTCCCAAGAAACTTGCTGCTTTGAAACCCTCTCTTGGCTCCCATTCTCCTGTCTGACACTTTGTTCAGCACATTTCCCACTCTACAAACAATCCTAATCTATCAGGCATCACGCCTTTGCACGTGGGTGCTGCAGAAAGACTAGATACTTATGTCACGTAAAAATTTGATTGCATTAGCCTTGAAAGGTGTGAATTGCTCTCTCACAATGGAGGAACACCACGTAAAATAAAAATTCAACTATTAAATCACAAATGAAGGGGAGAAAAGGAGTTCTTTCATGAATAGAAGCAGAAGGTGAGAGAGATAGGCCAGTCATCTGGAAAAAAGAGAAAAGGTATTAAAAGCTGGGGTATTTTTTAGCTTTTACTGCTAATTTACTACTTACCCCGGCCTGAACCATCATTTGGTATCATTCCCAGAGTAGGGCCATTGGAGGAATACTGCCTTTTGGCAAAGCCCAGTAGCTAGGGATATGGCATCGCTCCTAGAAAAAATTGTTTAGCAGAAGAGCTGTAGTTTTGGAAATGGCATTTCAGTCTATCAGTTCAGAATAGTCACAGATCGACAGAGGTTTTCTGGCCAACTGCTATAAAAAAGGAAAGCCGGATGTTCCACTGAGGGATAAACCCTCAAAGGCAACCTTGGAAGTACAAAGCAGCCACCTTCGGCTTAGATATTAATCAAGCTAAAGAAGACCGTATTAACTCTGAGGACTTAAAATGACAGAGTCGATACTCCTTTAACCTGTCCTTTAATGTGAGAACAAACGACATGTGTTAAAAATCAAAGGGCAATAATTCTGGAACAAATAAAAAGATAAAATCTTGTATTTCATTCTGTGGATCATTAATATGTGTGATTCACCCTTAGGAGGTCATGGAACCAGATACTTTAACTGGATTCTAAAAGGGCTAGCTAATGTTATGGTCATTAATAACATTATACTTACATAGCTAAGACATTGCTTGTATTTTGCCAAATCTCAGGCTTCAGGGCATTTGTTGATTTCTTGTGGAGATCAGAAAGATTTCCTATCCTCCAACCAGAAACGCCCAACTGACAATTATGGCCAGCTCACTTTCCTACTGGTGATTGCCCTAAAGTCCTAGTCAATCAAATTTTGTCTCAAAGACCTGTGAACTGTGTTATAGAATGAATTCACATTTATTGCAGGAAAACACTGGTATTTTGGGAGGGTGGGAATTTCATCTAAACCTCTCTACTTCCAACACAATATAAAATCTTTTCAATCTGATAGGGACCTCAGATAAAATATTCTCCTACAACTTCTTTTTATATTGATACCTGAGATGGGTAAGGTTCAGAAATTTTCTCAAGGTTGTACAACCGGTTAGTGGCCTAGAAAAAATTGAAAGATCTCCTAGTTTTTAATCTTGTGTCATTTTAGAATATGACAAGCCACTGCCATCTTGGAAGATAATTTTATTTATTCCAATTCTGCTACAGCAAATAAACGTAGGCTGAATAGTCAGATGGTGAGTGATACCACAAGAATAAGGGTATTTGTCTCTGACATTTACAGAGACAAATAGTTTAGTCGAAGTAAAGGACTTAGTTTATCCTTTTTCCCTGTCTATTTTGTCCAGTTGATTTTGGACAATAGGTTTTACCACTGTCAACATGAAGTAAACATGTTAGAGAAAAAGGAGAGAACCAGTGGCTCTCCTTAATGTAAGACCTTGTGGCAGGGGACTTCCCTGGTGGCACAGTGGTTAAGAATCTGCCTGCCAGTGCAGGGACATGGGTTTGAGCCCTTGTCCAGAAGGATCCCACATGCCACAGGGCAACTAACCCCGTGCTCCACAACTACTGAGCCTGTGCTCTGGAGACCGTGAGCCACAACTACCGAGCCCGCGAGCCACAACTACCGAGCCCACGTGCCACAACTACTGAGCTTACACTCTAGAGCCCGTGCTCGGTGATAAGAGAAGCCACTGCAATGAGAAGCCCGCACACTGCAACGAAGAGTAGCCCCCGCTCGCTGCAACTAGAGAAAGCCCATGCGCAGCAACAAAAACCCAATGCGGCCAAAAATAAATAAAATTTAAAAAAAAAAAAAAAGGACCTTGTGACAGGATGTTGTTTGCTCTCCTCCCTTCTCCTGCCTCACCCCCAAATCTGTTCCTTCTGTTTTTTTTCTTCCTGGGCACATGGCCACCTACCAAAAGACTACATTTCCCAGTTTCCCTCGTGACCAAGTTTGAACCCAAGACTAAGTTCTCACTAAAGCGACATGAGGAGAAATGTAGTTGGCAACTTCCAGGTCATCTACTTAAAAATAATCTAGCTTCACAGCTCTTTTACCTTCTAGCTAGCCTGCAGTGGTAAAAGTGTTATGTTGAAGAAGACAAAAAAACACCCCTTAGCCTGAGTCACTGGATGACTCCATGGATTGGAGCCCACTTCTTACCAGGAAATGACTTTATCTCTTCTTTGAGCCAATGTCTTTTGGGGTCTCTTTATTATAACCGTTTAACCTTTTCCCTAACTAATACAATTGTGATCTCTGTCATCAGAACGATTTCAGAATAGTAAAGGAAAATAAGAATGGAAGCTGCAGTGGACAGTGCTATTTTTTTGTTTGCCTGGCATTTATCTGCATTCATAGAGCTCAACCAGCTTTAGAGAATAACATCCCCCTGTGTTTATATGGCTGAGTTGAGGCTAAGTGCAATGCTTCTTATCTACCTCTGGTCCAGGTGACACAGGCATGAACAACCAATATTTTCTATCCCT